TGAGCGGGAACCGGTCTGTATGTGGGATCCGAACCCTCGGCGGGAGTGCCGCCACGCTTCCTAAGCGGCGCACTGTAGCAGCGTGCCACCGGGCCGGCCCCTAATTTCTGAAGTGATATCTCTCTCAGCTCTGGAATGCTCCTGAGTCCATATATGGTCAGTTTCTGCTCAGCTGAAGATTTGTCCTGAATGTTGTCTATAATTTTAACTTAATTTCCTCTGTTTTAGTGTTTATAAGGTTATTTGCATGATTCTAGGTAGATCTTTTATACTTGGTAGATTCAGAGGAAACACACTCTGGTGTATTAGTTCTTGAGGTGAAAGATGAGAATGTTGGAGCTGATTCCCAGAGTGCTATTCACTGGCAGGCGGGTGTCATTCTGCAGAATGTTTCGTATTTATCTGACTCCCAAGATGATTATGGGGAAGAAAATGAGCCCGTAGAGTTTCAATGATTGCTAAGGGCTTACATCATCTGTGGTATTCTACAGCTGTCCTATCCACTGAATAGATCTCAATGTTGCTGCATAGTGACGTTTCCCATAAAGCAGTAAGGAATGTGTTCCATGTGGCTGTAGGTAGCGTCATGCTATGGTGGCCAGGGCCAACCACATGTGTGCCTGTTAGAAACTGGAGGCTTTTCCTTCTTACCGCTGCCACCACGGTTCTTTCATCAGGCATCGCTGTGCGCCAGACACTCACCATACATTTATCTCACCTGAGCCCCCAAACAGCTGTAGGAGGTGAGACTCCTAAGAGGTCGGTTCTTTTTTTTTTTTTTTCCTTTTTGTCTTTTTTCGTGTCCGGCTACGGATCGCAACCCTCAGTGTCGCGCCTGTACCGGACCGGGACCGGCAACGGGATCGCAACCCTCGGTGTTGCGCCTGCACCTCGCTCAGCCAGTGAGCAGGAACCGGTCTGTATGTGGGATCCGAACCCTTGGCGGGAGCGCCACCGCGCTTCCCAAGCGGCACACTGTAGCAGTGCGCCACCGGGCCGGCCCAGAGGTCGGCTCTTGATTGAGTCACAGTGCTGTGCAGAAGGATCAGAGAGAATCTACCCCCGTGTTTCAGACCTGCCCTGAAAGAAAACCTTCTATCATGACACCTGGGAGAAGTGGTGGGGGCAGGAGGTGGTAGTTGAAGGATCTCTGAATGTCTTTCCCTGCTGAGCCTAGCCGGCGAGGCGTATCACATAGGCGACTTAATCACAGCTCAGGGTCGTAAGTGATCCCTTCTAATGACATTGACTGTAGCGTGACAGTTGAAATTTTGAAAAGCTAAATAAATTTACTGGATATTAGTTGTATATAAGCAGGATTAACTAGCAAGTTAATCTAACGAGAACTAACAAGTTCTTGCTTTCTTTACTTGGTAGCTATCATGTATGAGTCATAGTGTTTGAGTTTTATTATTTGACCGTCAGTGGCTTTTCCTAGAAATAAAATGTCTTATAAGATGGTTCCAATTGCTGGTTTCTGGTTAGTAAAGGCTCTAGAGGGAAGTAGTTGGACTAAATGTTCCTGGAAATTACAACGCTTTGGAGTTCTGAAAGCTCAGAGAACAGCACAAGAGCACCTGGGAAGAAAGGGCCTGGTCATTTACTCTGTGGGTGTGCTTGTTTCCTTGCACTTCTCTCTCCTTTTTCTCCATCCTCAGTGGCATCATAGGGGAACGTCTGCCGATTCGGTACTACCTGACTTTTGGGATGCTCGCCAGTGGAGCCTTTACCGCCCTGTTTGGGTTGGGGTATTTCTACAATGTCCACAGTTTTGGATTCTACGTGGTAACTCAGGTAAGGGTCTGGGTCCATGGCTTACCAAGTATGAGGTTTCTGTGTGAATAGGATGGGGTGTCTCTGGCACAGGACCCCACCTCTACCAAGAGACAAGACAGTAGATGATGGGAGAGGGGCAGAACTGTGTCTGAACAAAGGTCAGGGTCAGCTGGCAGGCAAGTCCCTCCTCTCTTTTCTGCTTTGAAATTCCAGCAGTAGGAGGTTTTCCTGTTTTAGCAGTGCTGTCTGTTGGTACTCCTGCAGGGGGATTGAAACACGGAGCCCGTAGAAGTTATTCTGTCCTAATTTGTAAGAGTTTGAGATGTTGTATCTTATGACAGATTTGGCCTCAGGAGTTGGGGGTTTGTCATCTGGCTGTCCCTGTAGCTGGAGGTGCCCCAAAAGTGCTGGCAAAGTCATTCCCAATCAGGAGTGCCCCAAGCCATCCCAAGAAGGGCCAGCTGGAATTCCAAAGAAAGAAGCACCAAATGCCAGGCCGATCAGTCCAAAGCATGTATTAGGGGAAATGCAGAGGGGGTGCAGCATGTCCTCAAGACGGACGGTGAGACAAAGGATTCTGCCTAGGTGTGTCCACAGAGAGGGAGTCAGGTATGGAGTGTATATGAGGGTTTAAGGAATTTGGCTCAAGGCCAGGGCTAGCTTCTTTCAGTTTTTTAGGCAACAAACAACCTAGACACCTTTATCAATGCCTGGGAATGTTCTAGGCTTCAGCTTGGGTTCAAGCCTGCAGGGAAAACACGCAGCTGGCCTGGTCACAGAGCTGTTGAGACACTCTATGTTTCTTGGTCAGAACAGAGAAAAAAGTGAGGGAAACTGGGGGGCCATACAGAAGGATGTGGAGTGTGGCAAAGGTGGAAGGAAGGGCTGACTTTGGCATTTTCAGCAGCAGGGTGGGGAGGAGAGGAGAGATCCTAAAGGTGCTGGGGGGTGGAGGCCTGAAGACAGACCAGAAGGGTGGCTTTGTCCTTCACTCTGGGCCCAGCCCTTCTAGAATCTCTTGGCTTCTCCCCTTTGCAGAAGTCTGTGAGTAAATATTGACTAGCAGTAGAAAATGACTGAAAATAATGATGTTCAACTCTGGTTTTGTGATACTTCTCAGGCTCTCCAAATAGCCTGGGGAGTGTTATGAAATTATTAAAGCAAATTGTATTTAATTTTTCTTTTAAGATTTTGTCATAACACTTGGAAAAGTTTGGCTGTTTTAAATTACAAAAGGGATTCTCACTTGTATAGCAATATAGAAAATTAGAAGGAAAACCCAATCTTCCAGAGTCCCAGCATGTTTCTGGAGTGAAGGCCAAGCCTGGTCAGCCCAGAGGCAGCAGCAGGTAGACCAGGGTTCCCAGCTGTCTTCTAGAGAACTGGCTTAGGGCCGTAGGCTGCCAGAAGCACTAGGCTGGACCTGGTTTCATGTAGTCTCATGGAGTTGCCCCCAGTTCTCACAACACTAAAGCAGACCCACGCACCAGTGCATTCCCCAACTCTCTTCTTAAAACTTAACTCAGGATTCTCTTGAAAAGTGCAAAAATACTTTTTCCAGGTGCTATGTCAACATTGTGTTCATTTCCAAAAATGATTAACAGTACGTTCATCATGGTATAGTAAGGGAAAACATGCAATTTCCAAGCCATGTTTATAGCACAGTTCTATAAACAGTTCTGTAAAAAGAAGACAGTTTTCTCTTTATAATGTTTTTAGATTTGAAAGAGACTGGAAAGCTTGTTAACAGGAATTATCTCCTGGTGGTGGGGTCCTGGCTGGGTTTTCTTTTCTTGCTTTTCTCTACTTATTCTAAAATTTCCACAATAGGCATGTATTACTTTTAAAATAAAAGCTTAAACTATAGTTTAAACTATATATGAGTATAAATGTATAATTTTAAATATGTCTTTGGCTGTCAAGGCTCACATAGACCAGGGTTTCGCTCCCCTTTCGTGAGAGTCCCAGCTGTGCTCCCACACTTCGGAAGGACAGAGAAGCAAGCATTGGGAGCCTTGCCCGAGACAAGCTCTCATACACATTTTCCACTCATGGTGAGTCTTCTGCCCTCTCTCGCAGATCATCAATGGATTGGTGCAGACCACCGGCTGGCCCAGTGTTGTCACCTGCCTCAGCAACTGGTTTGGAAAAGGAAGGTGAGAAAAAGCGGTTCTGTTTCCAACAGCATTTATCTTTTAAAAGAGTCCGGTGAAAACCCCGCCTCTTTATTTTTAGTTTTTCTTTAGACTCATTATAGAAAAAACACTTTGGTCTCCTCTTTAAAATAAGCTGGTTGAAACTTCAGGTGGGCCCGTGTCTTGTGAGATGGTAGTACCCAGCCCCCATGCCGTGGGCAGCCAGGTCTGTGTCACTTGTGCTGCACCTGTGACAGCTGCCCGGCCTCTCCTGGCCTCCCAGAGGTCAGGGTTCCACCCCAGGCCTCCTGAAGCAGAAGCTACATTTTAACATGGAAGTTTGAGAAGTTCTAAGCCAGGACAACCTCTGGTGATGGAGTACAGTCCACGTTCACTTGCAAGTGTCTGCATGAGGCCAGCTCCGCCAGGCCCAGGTTAAGGAGCAGGGAAGCGCCCCAGGCCTCCTGAAGCAGAAGCTACATTTTAACATGGAAGTTTGAGAAGTTCTAAGCCAGGACAACCTCTGGTGATGGAGTACAGTCCACATTCACTTGCAAGTGTCTGCATGAGGCCAGCTCCGCCAGGCCCAGGTTAAGGAGCAGGGAAGCTTCCAGACAAGGAGGACAGGCTCACACTGTGCTTTGTGCATCTGGCGTGTGCGTCAGCACCAACTTTGACTGCATTTAGACTATGGAGGCACAAATTTAAATTTTGAGCCTTCCAAGAATTTCAGGAAAAAGTCTCTTTCCTCTTTTTAATTATATAATAAATAAGCTCTGAGAGAGAAATGGAATGTGTGATTATACAGCCTGAGGCAAAGCACAAATGTGGTTCTCTTGCAAACATCCCTGGTCCTACATCTTGCAGAAGCAGTGTCTGCATCGCTTGTTTATTTCCATGCTAACTCTTGGATGTTGCAAGCACCATTGCGCCCTGTACTCATGGATGCAATTCACTGTTTTGTGTTGCAGGCGTGGTTTGATTATGGGCATCTGGAATTCCCACACCTCAGTGGGCAACATTTTAGGGTCCCTGATTGCTGGCTACTGGGTGTCCACATGCTGGGGCCTGTCCTTCGTCGTTCCTGGAGCCATTGTGGCAGCCATGGGGATAGTGTGCTTTCTCTTTCTCATCGAGCGTGAGTACACATGGCCTTGGGGATGACCCACTGAGAGGCATGGGTTGTCATTTGCCAGGAAGGCTTTGGGACGAGTTAAGAGGGTGGCTACTGCTCAGTCCTGTGCACGCATGGAGTGACTCTGGCCCTCCCCTACTGAAGAGACTTCCTTGTTTATGTACAGACTTCCCCTTGTAGCCACTTCTCTCCTGGTCTCGCTGGATTTTCAGCTTTTCCCTGATTGCTGGAGTGACCAGTGTTGAGATCCCTTCCTCCCTGTCCTGCCCCTGCCTTTGCCCTCAGCGTTGGGCATTCCTCTTTGGGAGCCTTCTGTCTTCCTGGGGCCTGCCACATTGCTCACAGCCGGGGGTGCAGGCCCAGCCCACCTGGCTGCACCTGCTCACCCGTCCTGTCCCCACAAACTGAAATGTACCTTGTCAGCTTATTTGCTTTCTGATAAGACATATCTTGAACAATGTTGTAAAACTGTGGTACAACTTAAGACCACATACCTTAACTAGGTAAAGAATGTGTACCGGAAAATCAAATTCCTTGTTCTATTCCAGATTCAACAACAAACTTTTGATTTAATTGAATTTGTAATTAATTTTTACAGTAGAGAGCCAGCAGGACAAGGGTTTTGAACCATTGCACTAATGATGGAGAAGCCAGTGGTGCCCTGGGTGTTAAGTGTCAGGATGTTCTAATCAGGCTATTCTGATAAGTTAGAGCTGGTATTTAGTTCTTTCATTTAGCTTGAAGCAAAACAAAATCACATGGTACTAGACAGCTTGCTGGCAGTGACAGCCAGGCAGGTGCTTACACGTCAGGCCTTCCGGCCACACTGGGCATTAACTGTGGCTTCACCTTCACCTTCAGAGCTGCCAGCCTCATCGTCCTCCAGGAAGCTCATGAATATTCCATTTAGTTTCTCACGTTTTTCTTATTGCTGAAACTAACCTTTTAACTTTTAAAACAACTGGCATCCAGCCAAGCAGTTATGGAGCTCTGAGACCAGTGTTCCATGTCAGTAAAAATGGAAATAAGCATCCAGGTGTGGAATTCAAAGACACACCCGCTGGTGTGAGCAAAAAGGGAGGGCCAGGGCTGCGGCTCAGCTCCCGCTTTACCCATGTTCTCCAGAGGCCGAGTGAGCTTTCCCTGGGTGGGGTGCCAACATGCCGACATGTGGCATTTAGCTCCAGCCGGTGTGTCCCCGTTGTTCTGGGAAAGGTCCTTCGTGCCACCTGTTTTCCTCCAAGCTGCACCCGGCACCGGGAGTTCTGCGGCCTGCTCCCTGAGGCGTTCCCTGTACACCGATCCCCTGAGAACCGTGCAGGCCCCTGGGTGCTGCCTCCTCAGGTCCAGAGTCCACAGAAGGAAGAAATGGAAGGAGGAATGGAGTGTGTGGCACAGACATGAGCTGTTTGGGCATTGTCCTCCCCCAGGGCGGGGTTTCCAAGAACAGTGAAGCTCTGGTTTGGTCTTCTGTGATAAAATCAGTGCCTCCTTCCCACGAGCCACCACTCCTGTGGCTTCTAGGGAAAGAGGGGCAATGTGCTTCGCCCCCATCCTCCTATTACAAGCTGACCTGCTGTCCTCCCTGTCCCTTACTTCTGTGCCTCGGGGCACTGTTTCTCTGTACACCCTAGGACAGAAACACAATCTCAGCCTCCCCGGGCCAGCAGACCATGCCTGGAAGGTTTTTCTGGGAGGTTGTTCTAGACCTCATAAGGGGTGCTCCAGTGCTTGCTGCTCCCGGGGGCCCTGGGCAGGAGAGGCAGCACGCTGGCGCCCATGCGAGTGTTGGGGCGCCACGGGAAGGGAGGAGTTGCCGGGGAACCGAAGTCGGGCCGCAGGTGTCCTCCCCTCCCCGCTCTCTACTCGGCACATCACTCTGGCTCCTGGTGGTTCTTACACACAGTGTTAGCCTTTAGTCATTACTAGTAAGTATGAGCTGCTCAGTTGAGCTTGCTGTTCCTGTTCTTCGCAGCACTGCCAAGAACTTCTTCCCATTGCTCTTCCCCCGTCCCCAGCCCACACCTGACCTCCTCCTTCCACATGTTTCATGGTTAGGGGGGACAGGGTCCCAGTTCACACCAGTCTCCCACGTTTGTCTCACTTTGATCACCTCCTGGTCCTTGCTCACACCCATGTGTCTCTTGTGTACTTCCTGTGACTGGCTCATGCCTCCCCCTGTCTCAGACCCCGGCCATCCTTGTCACACCACCCTGGCTGTCCTCCCCTCTCTGTGCTTCTGCCAAGGCTACCTCTAGGGCCTTGCTCACAGCCGGGAAACCTCCTAGACTCAGTTTGTGTCTGTCTCCTGCTAGTGGTCTCCTGTCTGGGGCCCCTGCTCTGTGTCCTTCCTCTGGGCGTAGGCTGTGTGCTGAGGTCTAGTCTGCCCTCTTGCATTAAAACCTGACGTTAACTTTGCCACCTGCCTTGGAGTGGAGACTGTCTTGGGAATGGCCTCAGAGGCAATGAGCACCTGCCCTGTTCTTGTTCTTCCTGGGTCACAACAAGGGTGTTTCCCTTGGAACTACCACCCCCTAGGGAAGGCTTCCCACCTCCCAGATGCTGGGTGGTCCTTGTGGCTCGGAAGGGCTGAGGCTCAGGGAGCTGAGTGACCCACCCAAGGTCAGACGGTTAGGAAGTGTAGAGTTGGGACAGGACTGGTGCGGGTCCCCCACTCATACTTCCTCAGACTTCAGCCATGGACACTTGGGTCCTTGGGATGCATTCTTGTGGGTTCCATTAATTTCTTTTTCATTTATACAATTATCTTAAAAAACAAATTTGTCAGTTATAAATTGTGTCTTCTCTTACAGCAGTAAAATGCATTTGAAAAATTTTTGTACAATAGAGGTTGAGGTTCTTAAGTCAGTGTTTCTCAAATCTGGGTTCCTAGAACCCTGGAGGTTGAAAGATTATGCTTAGGGACTGTGGGAACTCTGTCCATCAGGACTTCTCAGTTGCCATCATTCTGTCCTACAAGGAGCCTTTCCCCCCACTTCTTCCCGGTTAAACGCACAGCAGCACTCCCACCCACGCTCCCCACCCACCCTCCCTAGCCCCTGTCCTCTGCACACCCCAGCCTGTACATGAGATGAAGCGGACTTTGGAGCCCCTGATGAGGAGGTTGGCGAGTCTC